CCTCATGTTCCCTTTAAAACAGCCTCTCTTGACCTGGTGTCTTCCAGAGCTGATGAGGCCACAACTCCCATCATTAGTGTGGATTATGAGAGCTGGAGTCCAATGATTCTGGTAGATGCTGTCCTGGAGAAAAGTGCTTTGTAGCAAGGTTTGTGTTAATGGTTGGAAACCAAGAGTTTTGCAGAAGGAAAACTAGTAAGATCCTTGAGGCACGGTTATTTCTGGAAACTACGCAAGATTCAGAAATATTTTAATGCTAATGTTGTACATTCAAACACATCAGCCCTCTGTAAAGCCAGAAACAGCGAAATAAGCCCTATGCCAACCATCCATGAGATTGGATATAGTGGGACTGAATACACTGAATTTCATACAATTTGATTAGATATACTGTAATAAGATTCATACAAAACTAAGCCCTGCATACATATATATTATTTATAGATATATTTTCAGAAAACACACACATACATACATACACACCCTGTTTCGCAATTCATAAATGGTTAAGTTGGCCACTGTCCCTTGTTAGCAGGCTACAATAGGTACTACCCTGTTTCACTGAGAGCTTGGGAAGGTTATTTCTTTGGACTACAATCCCCAGAATACCACAGCCCAAGCTGGATGGAGGACTGTGATTCAAAAATGGTACTTCTCCAAACTCTGGTTCCATTGGGGGCACTTTTTGGTAATCATAAAAGTCAGTCAAATAAGTTGAGCAACGCGATTCTCCACCCATCATAGCTAGCCGCTGTGTGTGATGTGTCCTGAGATGCACAAGGGCTGGGCTGTTCAGAGACAACTCTAAACCATAGTCTGAACATCCTTAAGCAACCTGGCTCTCTCCAGTTCCCATCATCCTCAGTCAATGGCAAAAGTCGGCTGGAAGTGATGGGACTGTAGTCCAGTAGATCTGGATGACATGACAAGGCAGGTCATGTCATCCAGGATGAATACAGCTTGAGCAGAAATTCAATCCAGATTGAGCAAAAGTCAGAAACTGAAAAAAATATATATGTATGATGTTTTGGAATTACAAACCACCAAACACCAAGTTAGTTTGAAGTAATCTGAGAGTTACAGTCAAAAAGACAAATTTTGGTCCTGCTCAAAAGCTATCGTAGTTGGAAGCTTTCTTTCTGAATAGGAAGCTCGGCAGAGCTAGTTGAGATTCAAAGTCACCCAAGTTGAGGCCTTTCTCCGATATGCCATATTTAGGTTTCTGTAGCCTGTCAGATAGAACTCCCAGAATGGACAATGATGGCATCCGTAGTCCAAGAAATCTGAAAATCTAATTCCTCACACTCTGCTTTACATTAATTACATCTAATTTTTGCATGGTTAATCTTAAGTCTACTCTGTTGAAACAAGCCAGACACACAGTTTGAAGTTGGCTTGTTTCCACTAATGGTAGAAAAGATTAACTGCAGTCAGATGGAATACAGAGTTTGGCAAACTGTGGTGAATCTAAATTGATGGGAATCACTACCACCCTTCTTTTTTGAATGGAAACGGGACGGGAGATTGCAAAGGTCTGAAGTTTTCTGTGGCTTGTTCTTGTAACGCTAGACTGTGGTTTGGTGTTACATCTGAATCACTTTGCTGTGAGACCTTGGTTTCCCGAAAGGAGATAAATATCGAGAGAGAACCTGAGTTTCAGTGGCTAGCCACAGGAGGGGAGATCCATTTCCACAAAAATAAGGCAGAAGCGGAAAGGGAGTCTAGAAATGTTTGTCTGTAAGCAATGCGCGTTACAGCTTCATAGCCTCTTCCTTTTCTCATCAAACTATAACCTTGTGAGGGGGAAACACAGGAAACTACAATTCCCAGGGTTCTTGAGAGACGTTATGCCATTTTAATCCTAAACTGATGTACGTGGTAAAGAGGAAAATATAAAAAGTAATATTAGTTCATGATTTAAAAAACCCCAAAAAAACAGTCCCTTTGAACCTCCAAAGGTCAATTTTCTTAGGTTAAAAATGTGGAGCAGGTGCTGGGGGTGGTGACACAAAATATGACAAAATTTGCCTCATATTCTCTAAAGGGCACAAATTGACTTTCTGAGTCACAATTTGTCAATAATACACATTCTATTATTGTGTGGGGGTACTTGAGGGGGGTCTATGGGTGCTGAAGATGCTCATCTCTATCAAGGCACAAAATCTCCAGGGCCAATAAAGCAAAAATATCTACTGAAATGCATGTTTCGGGCCTGTTTTATTGGCATAACTCCGTATCAACAAACATGGAAACTGTCGTTTTGTGTGGCAATTAAAGATGAAGCAAGCAAGCAAGAAAAACAAACCAAATATTTTCAGCAATTCCACACTATGACAGTTCCCTTGATTGTTTTGTGGCCGTGGCTGGAATAACAAGCTGGCTAAAATCCATAATGAAAGGATGCTTTTTCAGCACTTCCCCAATCAAAACTCCTTTAATAATCACAGTAAAAAATAATTGTTCCCAGCTTCCTTTGTGATGAATGCACCTCTCAGATGTTTTCACAAACAAAAAACAGGAAGAATATGTTGCCCTTCCTGTTTTCATTCAAACATTTGTAAAATAAAAAAAAGATATGCTTTTTACAAAAACAGATCATCCTTCCTTTACAGCCTCGAAATCATGGAAGGTGTGTGAGCAAAGAAAGAGGGACCTCTTAATTTTCTGATGCTCCCCTTTAGCCACAAGGTTATGTGGAAGGAGCAAGGCTAGTGTTGTTATGAAATTAAGTACATTAACTGTGCGATGGAATATATTATAGCTTCAGTACGATTGAAGGGAGCGGTCAAGAGCAGAGGCTTGGAGGATTCAATAGGCCCCTTTCTTCACTAAATTGAACCCTGATTCTTTTCCGGTATTTATAGCATGAGAAAAATTATTTGTTGCAAGAGGGCTGCATTGACTTCCCCATGTTCATGAGTGGGCTATGACGGTGGATTTTTTACTGATGAGATTTAAAGATCGCTGAGTTTAAAAAAAGAAGAATCTGAAAAGAGGCAACCTTCCGGAGCCCTGCAGGATTTCTCATCGGGCTGTGAGGACTCCTGCAAGACTTTAAAGCTTCCCAGTTTGTGAGATTTTAGTGATCTAATAAACGTATCGCCCACCTGTCTTTCAGGTTGTGTATGAGGACCATATTCCCCCCCCCTTTTAAAGGAAAAAAAAACCTCCCAATTTCTACAGCAGGTCAGCTGTGAACATAGAAAGAAACTGCGAGTATTCAGAATATCTGGAGAAGAAAACAAAAGGGGGTGGGAAAAGCAGGAGATGCTTGTTTCAGAACAAACAAACAAAAAACCATCTATCCTGCTGCATATTATCAAACACCTAACTTTGCCCCATCCCAGCATCTATAAAGAATGTGTTGCTCCTTCCGGCTCCTGTTGCCATCAGCTTTGTCAATTAGAGAGCAGCCGCTAAAGCAGGCCAGATCAGGAGCAGCGCTTTGTAGCAGGATTGTCTTTGCATTTTTTTTAAAAAAAACAAAAACCAACATATACTGTATATTTTTTCTGGTTTCCTTGCCTTATGCCCATTCAGCAAAATGTATCACACCCATTGTGTTGGTGGGAGGCAATGAGCAGAGAATAGGGACCATAATGAACTGCCAAGAGATGAAGTGCAGAGCAGAAGGAAGGCAGAAACTGGACTCATCTCTATCTCATCACAACTAGTGGTGAAGGCTTCTGGGCGTTGTAATTTTACGAACACCTGGAAACCCAAGGGCGGGAACCACTGCATTAAACAGAGGCAGTCAGCCCCCTTGCATTTCAACATTCTGCACTGGCAATAAAAGACCTTCGAGGAAAGGGGGTGGATGTATTGTTGTTACTGATGTATTAACAAGCTGCCAGAATGTTCCAGAATTAAAATGTGATGACTATTCTGGAGCTTGCATCATTTTGCATTTATCTTTGTGGGCAGCAAACAAGTTTCAGGATTTCTTTTGCAAGGAGGGGGGTGGGTGGGCCTCTATGGATCATTCATAGACGCAGATGAGTGTGGGTGTCATCATAACAACTCGGGAACACAGGATGGGGCACTGGACCAAGGCAGAGTGCATGGGGATAAAACACCATGCCCGGAATATTTGTACAGTTATAGCTTACACTAAGTTAATTAAGAACACCTAATTAGGGAAGAGACGTGGCATCCCCTTTCAGCTTGAGGGCTAAAATAAATGTAAGAGAAGTTCTGAGTGGTTGCATTGCCCAACAAAAATTATCAGTATATTTTCGCTTAAAACTCTCAGTGCTAACAACTAAGTCTTAAGAGAGAGAATTTCAACCTTTTAGAATTTTTTTTAAAAAAATCCTCCAAAACGTACGAGTTAGAAAACCACCTAGTGGTGGTATCGTAAGGATGAGGATGTAGCTTAAAGAGAACTTAAAATGGTCAGAGACAGCCCAGGACCTGAAGGATTATAGGCATTCTAGAAATATTTGTAATACAGAGGGGAAGAATCCTGACAAAGTTCACTTGCTCCAGTCATCACATTTACCTTCAAGCTTTGCTTTCTTTTTTCCCATAAGAAGATTCAACCACCACTGATTTTAGGACAGGTAGAGTTCAAGCACAGGTTCAGAATTCAAGATGGTGCCCAGCCATGAGCCTCTTAGTCTAAGTCTTAGGTCTGTGAAGAGTTCCACAGATACAGTACCATGTGCTTTGATTTCTTGTGGAATTATGAGGATTCCTGGACATTTAAATTTTTGTTGGTTCCATTTTGTTGGTCTAAGATTTCCCATCCCACTAAGAGGGAGGCAGACACCTCAAGTAGTAAAATGGTGGCCCTCTTCTGTGGAGACTCTAAGACGCCATCTTGAATAGTGAGCTTGGTGCATGACAACTTGAACACCTTCTCTGCCTTTTACTCTCCTCTTCCTAAGTGACCAGCTTGCAACCTCTTAAAAGGTTTACAGTTTGAAAAGAGAGAATCAAGGGAAGAAGGGCTAAGCAAATTCTGAGGGGAAAATTTAAAAAAAAAATAAACAAAAACATAAGCCACAACAGACATGTATTGTATGCTAGAAAGACTGAAATTACTACATGCCAAAAATTCTGAACAGTTCTAACTAAGCTAGCTTTGCTGCACAGAGGAAATCAAAAGAGGTGGGTCTCTAATCTGTACACCTGGAAAGTAGAAAGAGAGAAAAAAGAGAGAGAGAGAGGGAGAGAGAAGTATTTCACTCCTCATGCGATCGGGGGAAGGTGCGAGGCCACATATGACACCAACCCGTAATAGCCCTGCTTAAGACACATCCATGTCTTGGGCTCCTCTTCCAACACAGAAAAGCAAAAATAAAGCTTCGTTCCTTAAAAGCAAAGATGCAGGGCTGATCCCAAAGGAAGATGGGTGTGCTCAACATTTAAGACACTTTTCTTGAAATAGGAGTCTCTTCCCCCACACCCTGCCCAATTCACTGTCCCAATTAAAAACCGTGAAAGGTTTGGCGGATGCTGACAAGTTCAATGACGATGCTGAGGACCCAAGAGAGAAGCTCATCCTGACCGTCAGCCTGGAGGGAGGGATACAGGGCCTAGTGCGAAGAAGAGACAGAGAAATCCCAAAATGTGCTCATGGCTGAGCCTTCTGGCCTTGGATTGCCCCGTCTACAGTAAACTCAGTCATGACCCTCCGAGCCAAAGGGTTGGTCGTCTTGAGAAGTTCGGCTGCCGAGGTTCGGATGCCAGTGGCACCCTTACCCCCTTTTTTCTGAAGAAGAGCCTTAAAGTCTTCATTCCGGCTGGAGGTTCTTGTGTTTCCCGGAGGACACTCATTGATCAGGGGGCCCGTTGTATTCTTTGAGGGCACCTGGGAATTCTGCCGGTTGCCAAAGGCATCGGTGGGTTCCTTCCACCCCAGTAACTTCCGCTTGGACCTGTAAATATATACATACACAAACAGATATAGGTATATAGAATCATGCAGAATGAGAGAAGGGGTTACTAGCCTTAGCAAGACACAGCTGGCTCAATGGAACCCAAGAGGAAACTATGGGAGAGAGGGTGTTATATGTGATTCTACTGGGTCAAGTTATTAATCCATGAATCAATCAAGAAGAAAGCAGAATAGCAATAGACTTTTCACATCACCCTGCATCATGATTTCCCCATGTGTACATTAGACTATTGGGTGCAACATAATTACTGTATTTTTTGCACCATAAGACTCACTTTTTTCCCACAAAACAGGGGGGTGGAAAGTCTGTGCATCTTATGGAGCGAAGAAAACAGATTATATTTTCCTGTTTTCTTCTCCTAAAAAATCGGTGCGTCTTATGGAAAGGTGCGTCTTATGGAGCGAAAAATACGGTATGTAGATGGAGAAAGGACAAGGCATCTCAGCAGCTTCACAAAACATCACAACATTCATTAACAATGCCTTAAAAGATATTTATAGAAGCAGCACACTTTCTGTACATTAAGTACACTTTCCAGATTACTTTCAAGATGCACAGAAAGCTAAGATTTGTCTTTCTCCCCCGATGCTGCTGTATGATCCTCTGGCTTCAGAGTTAGTGCTGGTTAGGTGATACACCACAGAACCCAAGCAGTGGTGCAGACTTCTGAGATCCCTAAATTTCATTTTCAAAACACTTGCCTGTTGCCTTTATTAGCGCTTGGGAAAGTTACTTCTTTGGGCTACAATTCCCAGAATCTTTCAGCCAGTGGTCAATGCTGCTGAGGTTTCTAGGGGCTGTATGTAGTCCAAGGAAGTATCATTTCCAAATTCTGGACCTTGTTACAAAGCTGGAGGGATTGGCATGAAAACATGTAAAAGTCTAGCGACTGGAAAAATTCATTTTCAGACTACAGTTCTCAACACACACACACACCACTCCTATCCAAAATACATGACATTTCCACTTCCTGAAATCTCATAAAAACTGGGGATGGCCTGGCTGGCCCACCAGGTCCATCCCCCAATTCCATGCTACAGCTAAACCCCTTAATGCCCAGTGCTCTCTTCCATTTCATCTGGCTGTCATGGGAGGCAGAGAATCAAAGCCATCATCCCTCTTGAGCAACCAGGTCCATCGGGCATGGCTCCCTTCCCGGCTGTCATCTGGCAGCCACTCCATTCAGCTGCTGCAGAAAGAGAGAGGGAGAGGGACAAGAAGCAGGACCATCCCGTTGCTTCAGTTAGGAAATCAGCCATTTGGTGGGTCTTCTTCTATGCTAACTGTATCTGTTCCAGCTGGTTATGACAAGAAGAACAATATCCAGTGACACTGCAGTCAATCCAGCTGCAATCATGGTGGCCGTTAAAAAAAACCTTTAAAATGCTAAGAACTCAAGTTATTTTTCTTTTCTTTTCCCTCTTTTTCTCTCCTTCTGTGACAGTACTTTTTAGAACCATAAACTTAAAAGGTAGGAACGGTTTTATTTTGATTGAATGGTCAGTCAATCTGGAAATCTTTTCTGGGTGAACATGCTTATAAACAAACACATGCTTATAAACAAGACAACGAAACCGACACTAAACTGTTCGAGTGCAATAAAAACTCTATTGAACTTGACTTGTAATACATTTCTATAGATACTCCACGGGGATGAAGCAAAGGAGCAGGAAGAGAGACTGGGCGAAAGGGTACCCTTGCCCCATTCGAGGTAGGAAGGGGCGGGCAAACTAGAAAGGTACCAAGAGCGCATCACGCCCTGAAATGAGGTCTGCCAGGAAGATCTCCCACCTGTGAATGACAGTAAATAAATCCTCTGTAGTTCTGGAAGTCACAAAAACATCGTCATCCTCCTCAGTTATTGACTCAGCTGTTTTGTCATTGACAACGTTTTTCTCATTGGCTCTCAAGTCCACAGAGTTCCCTGAAGGAAACAAAGAGAATATCTGGACAAAACAGCCACGGTTTCTGCCAGTGAGATTCAAGTAGTAGGAAGTAAAACTTAGTAGGGTTGGGAGACTTGCCAAAATACCAAGCTACGTAAGAAACCAGATGTATGGAGTAGAGTTTGGCTTTTTGGACCAAAACCTCCAGAAGTCCCCAGCCAGGATGGAAGAGAACAAGAGCTGAAATCCAAAAAGCTACTCTTCTAAGCTCTCATATGTTGTGTGTGTGCATGTGCGTGTGTAGGCCTTTGCAGGAAAAACATATGCAACAAAGCAGGAATAAGACATGTGTATGCACTCATGCCTCAGGCCACCCTATCCACATGCTTCTGATAAATCATAGCCATTTGTGGCTATTGCCTCCTTTGCATTATAATAGCTCATCTTTCTATCTTTCTAAACTGTACCAAAATGTCTCACACTCTCTCTAGAGATTATGAAGGGCCTTTCTGAGTGAAAAATATTAATAAATTGGAGGAGATAAAATACAGTGGTACCTCGACTTATGAATACTTACAACCATACTTACAAACGAATGGCTCCATTCGCAAAATTTTGCTTCGACTTGCGAACGGAACCTCGACTTACGAATGAAAAAATAAACTTTCCTGCTCTTTTTTTGACCTAAGTTCATCTTAGGTCAAAAGAAGAAGAAGAAAAAAAATCTCCCTAGTATTAACTGGTTTTGCATTAGTTCCTATGGGATCTCCCTGGTATTAACCGGTTTTGCATTAGTTCCCATGGGAACTAATGCCTCTACTTGCAAACAGTGCCTCAACATAAGAACGAAAAACAGCTGGAACGGATTAAATGGTTTTCAATGCATTCCTATGGGAAATTTTGCCTTGACTTACGAACGTTTTGATGTACGAACGCCATTCCAATATGGATTAAGTTCGTAAGTTGAGGTACCACTGTACTAGGATGTGCACTTGGACCCCTGCGGGTGCTGGAGAAAACCCATAAACTGCGCCTTGCCCAGTGGTCATAGATGTTTCATGTGCTCTCTCTTGGCGCTGTCTCAGTTACAGGGGTCGGTTGCCATCATGGCATATCTCCACCTCTCTCGCACTGCGTGGATTAATCATTCTTATCAAGATTCAGCCAGGCTTTGATGTTGTTCACCCATGAGATCTGCCTTCCACATGTCCCATGTCTGCACCCAGTCATCTCGCCTTCCATCACCCTTTTCAGTATATTATATTTATCATGATACATTATGTGTCTGAGATACAAGATTCTGCATTTCTTAATAATCAATTCCGTTTCTGGTTTTCCTTATCCAATGAAGGAACTCATTATTCTGTCAGGCCACGGGATGCAAAGGATACAGTTGTACACCCATATTTCAAAAGAATTTTCCACGTATAAGACTATACTTTTGTCTAAAATCTTTAGACTAAAAATTGAGGGTCGTCTTATACACGGAAGTAAGCTGAGGAGAGAACAAAAACAAGTGGAGAGGAAAGCAGGGATCAAAGCAATCCTGCAGCACTTTGATCCATTTCCCCCCCACCCATGCTAAGCTCCACTTAGATTTCTTAATTTGGGATTTAAAAAGCGGTGGGCATCTTATACATGGAAAAATACGGTGTTCTATGGAGCATCTCCTTCTTAATAGTCTAATTTGATCAGGTCAAAGCTTTGGGAATCCTGAGTCATCAAGCCACTTATGGATGGAAACTGAAGTAAAACTTACTTTGAGGCTGGATTAGAACAATCCTTCGCCACCCACCTCGGTCCCACCCCTTCTCATGTTCAAAGCAGCTGGTAACTACATCCCTCCACCATGTAAGTGACAAGTCCTAATTTTAGACCTTGCAGTACATTATGTTTGGAGCTAAAACAAACATAATGTACTGTGGATAGGGTATGTGAATAGAGCCCTCCTTCGCTTCCTGAGCATCTTCATTCATTCACAAACTCCATTGTGCTGTTATTGCCCAGAACCAGCCCTATCATGTGACAAACTGAGCCGGTGGCTTCAGTCGGCAGAATGCAGCAGGAAAAAAGAGCAGGTTGTCGGGACAAACAGGGCTCTGAGAGTCACACCGTGGGCCTCTTCTTGCTAAGCTCAGGATGTATACATTTAAAAAAGAACTCTTTGCATTAGCCATTGCTTCTCAGCTGCTAAGTTGCTGCTGTCATTACTTTACCTAGTTCATGTTATTGTGTTGTTATTACTAAGTGGTTGGAAAAATACAGAAAAATATTTTCTGGTTCCCTCTAGTGGCCAGTTCCATAACCATTGGAAATATTTATAAAACTACTAAAGGCAAAACAAAATACTTCTCTTGCCACCTAGGAGTTATAAGTGAATGGCACAAAAACCTGTAAAATTGCTTTCAAATTCTGTCTAAGGATGCCATAAAATGCCCTTTAAATGTAACTTTTGAAAGTAACTAGGCATGATTTATCCAGGTAATAGAGCTTTTACTTATTACTGCTAAAAAGTAATGTTGTAACTACCAGTTCTGATACTTTTTATCCCAAAGTAACTAGTTAACACAATTAACCTACTTGTAACTAGTTACTCCCAAGCTCTGCCTGTTCCTTCTAAGACCAAAAATGTTCCAGAATGCAAAACTAATGAAAAGTGGGATGTAAATTGCTGAGAAAAGATGGGAAAACAGGTGGTTGGTAAGGGTTGAAGAAAAGCTAGGGACATCTTAGAGGGAGAAGCAGGAAAATAACACTGGAAAGAAGAGGAAGGTGCAAATCTGAAAATGTTTTGGGGTTAACAGACCAATCGTCCTTCCAGCCCTACAGCTCCTAGCACCATCGATCAAAACCAGCTATGCTGTTCTTTCATTTTCTCATCCTTAATAGGTTTTTTTTTGTGGAAAGCAAAAAGAGAGGAGGAAGAGATGCAGAAATATAAGGACCCAAGAAGGGCCCTGCAGGATCAGGCCAAGGGCCCGTCTCATCCAGCTTCCTGTCTCTCACGGTGGCTCCACCAGATGCCTCTGGGAGCCCATGAGATCCCTGTCTCCTGATCCCCCTGCCCTGCATCGGGCAATTCAGAGCTACCTTCCTCTTAAGCCCAGAGATTATACATCCCCATCATGGCTTGTATGGAGAAGTAATACATGGAAGATATCAATGACTAGACCAGAAAAGAGGATTCCCCCCCCACACACACACACATGAACTGTAATCCTCACAGTATGCCGCAGCCAGCATAGCCACTCAGCTACACTCTTTGCAAAATTCAATGAATGAAGCAGGGTGATTGCAGAGCAAACACCTCATCTAACTGACATGTAATAGATACCAGTGTCACAATCAAAGGATGCATGGTTCATCTGACTGATGCTAAATGTTTTTAATTTCTAACAAAAAGCACGATTGTTCTACCCATCCATCAGATGATGACTGAATGTTGGTCTGTCTCTCTTTGCCTGCAAATGAATGAATACTGGGTACATCACACAGCACATGAGACTCAGTACAGTGCTGTGGTTACATCTCACCCTCTAACTCTCTGAGTGTTGGATTAAGATTGGGGAGACCCGGGTTCAAATCCCCACTTGGCTGTGAAACTCTCTAGAGGGCAGGGGATGGTATCTTTTGAACTTGGGGAGGGGGGCAGCAAATGCATTCGGGGGGGTTCCATCTGAACTTCAAAAGCAGCTGTCTATGGTGCTGAACTTGTTTTGGAAATAGCACCAGGACCTTGAATAGTTTCTGTAAAGTTTGGGCTAAATTCCAGAGCAGAAGGGCCATGCTTCAGAGCCACAACAGGCTTCCACCGATTCAGGAGCTGATTCTGGCTCAGCAACTTCATTTCTCCTTATAATCTACTTCACAGCACTGCTGTAAGGGCAGAGAGGAAAGTGTGTCTTAATGAACACCAGCCTCTTTTCTACATATTTCCACGTGGCCAGCAGGTTATGTTTAAGAAAGCAGAGGGTCTGATCTCAAGGTGGGAAAGGCGCCCTCTGCTGTTTTTCATGCAAGGGCTCCTGGGACTTCTTTGAGAATCTCCCTTTAATGCTGAGCTTAATGTTCAGCAAGACTACCTACCTCATAACCCTTTGCAACTGCAGCTTCGCTATTTCTAAGCACCAATTGAGCAATCTCCTTCTTTTTGAAAGGCAAATAATGGTGACGGAAGCCCTTGTGTAGTAATGGAACTTATGTGTTCTCCCAGAATTCTGCTTGGGAGAATTCTGGGAGTTGCAGTCCAAAATATCTGAAAGTCTGATCCTTAAATGTTTCCAAGCACTGACTTCCTCATGCATGAATGAGGATGCTTTTCATTGAGTCAGGCCCCTGGTTTACTAATCGCAGGGTTGTATAATTAGGCAGACTGGCAGCTCTCCAGGGAGGGAGGAGAGACTGAAATTAAATAATTAAATAATTAAATAATTTGGGAGTTGCAGTCCAAAATATCTGAAAGTCTGATCCTTAAATGTTTCCAAGCACTGACTTCCTCATGCATGAATGAGGATGCTTTTCATTGAGTCAGGCCCCTGGTTTACTAATCGCAGGGTTGTATAATTAGGCAGACTGGCAGCTCTCCAGGGAGGGAGGAGAGACTGAAATTAAATAATTAAATAATTAAATAATTAAATAATTAAATAATTAAATAATTAAATAATTATTTATTTATTTATTTATTTATTTATTTATTTATTTATTTATTTATTTATTTA